TTTATCTTACAAAATTCAAAGGGTACTCGGTTGTGTGGTTCAGGAAACTATTTCAAGATATGGACTCTATAGAAGACAATATTACTTAAGTTAACCCCTTTTAACTTAGAAATAAACATATTCACACTTTGGCGAACAACGTTTAGAGAAGTCATAATGATGAGTAATATTTATGGTATTGGTTCATCAGAACTAAAAGCATGTATTTCTCTTTGTGTCTTACTGAGCATTAGCAGAAAGTTATTCTGCCATTTTGAGAAATTGATAGTATGGTCTTTTGGCCTCTGGACTTCATAACAAAGGTGTTAGAGACTTCATGTACTCTGTGTGCTCCCCATCCTTTAAATAGATACACATATTTTATATATTTAAAATCTCACAGAGCTTATATTAATGTAGAAACCATAATTTTCTAAGATAAAGGGACAGAAAAGTTAAAATACCTAATACATACTTGTTTTTATATCTTTAACTTGGATTTCAGCTAAATTTATTTGGTAGACAATATGCTTATTATTTGGCAGAAAAATACTCTGAATTCCCTCCCTCCCTTCCTTCCAGATTTGCATGATAAAATGTTATTTTTGATTATTTGTTGATGTAAAATTCATTGTAAGTAATAGGTTAATAAGTACTGTGTTGGCTTTAGTTTAGATTTCTTGTGATTTCAAGCAGCTGAAATTGTAGAAGACAGTATTGCTCAAATGTCAAAGCATAGTTTTAATTAATTAGCAGTTTATTTGCACTAATGGGTTTCTTGTGTGTTGACATCAAATTATTTATAATGCTTTATTATAATAAAGTACATTCAGATAATCTCTTCTGGAAAGCACTTGAGTGGTACCCTTGCTAATTGGCTCAAACTAATGAATAGCCCATTACTGGGTTGAAAATATATGTGGTTATATTCCAATTAGGCCCTCCCAAAACCTGTTGTTAAAAGATACCTTAAATATGTTTATTCTCCTTCTTCAATTTTAAGTTATTTTTATATATTTGGGGATTACTTTTCTCTATCTGATTAAGGATGTTGTATTGGAGAGCTGTTCTCAATTAACTTTGATTTATTATATTGTATTAACTTTACTTTGGATAAATAGATATAATACTTTAGGTTTGAAGGTTTGAAGGTTTATTGCATTTATATGCCGCCCTATTCCCTGCGGGACTCAGGGCGGCTAACAAACCCAAAAGGGGGGGGGGGCGG